TGAAGCACGGGGAGGGTCAAAGTGCGTTTTAGTGTCTTGATTTCGTCTGTCTGTCGGCACGTACACTGAACAGAGCAGCCGGGCCGGAGAAATGGCTCAACGTGCTTGGAAATCTTTGACTTCAAGTATAGGTCATCCTGTAAAAATGTATTTGGTGGCTGTGTTACCACGTGTTTCTGCACCTAGAAGGAGGGAAGGGGTAGCCGGCAGCCGTGTTAGAGGTTTTTTGTGTACACCGTTTTCTTTCCGACTGTATATAACCATCGCGAGACTGGGGAAGTTAGAGAGACTGAAATACAGCTCCGTGCTCGAAGCGTGGAGCTGATGCGTAAACTTCATGTTTCTGTACTCTGATTTCTCCGTGCTGTGTTTCCGTTTCAGTTAAGCGTGTATACTACCACACGGTCAAGCATTGGTGCTGAGAGTAATGTAGATCTGGTTTTGAACGTGGAGGATTTTGATATTGAGTCCAAATTTGAAAGGTAAGTATCCAGACTACGAGTTCTTTGTTTAATTCTAAAGTACATGTCCTAACTCGTAGTTACGTGTATGGAAGTATGCATGAAGTAAGGTAGACTGTGATGGCTGTGTTGAAAGAGTAGAGTTGTTTTTGTGTTCCTTGTTTTGGGGTTAAAACTATTTTTGTCTGCTCTACAGGATACTCTACAAGTATCTACAGGATACTTGTTTTCATAAAAGTAACAACCTTATTTGCCATGTTAGGGCAGGAAAGATGTTAGCTGGATTTCAGCCTTAGAGTTGAGGACAAAGTGCTGCTGTTAATAAAACCAGTATTTTTCTCTTTAATTAAAAGTTCCTGGAATGTTTCATGAATTAAACATTGGTAAAGTGCCTGCCTTGATGGAAAGGGTGTGCTGTGTTCACCTGGCACTGAGAAATAGACTCTTAGACAAACTTTTCTTACATTGACAGTCATCTCGTAGTTGCAAGAAACAAACCTTGCAAAGCCAAGCTACACTAGTAAATACAGAAATGCTTTTTGTTCTCTTGTAGATTTTACGAATCTTGAATGCTGTCCTATGTTATCTTAACTTTCAAATTTCACTGTAACCATTCATCTCACTAGCTGTGCTAGATCGATAACATCCGTATGATGTGCTGAACTTACGTATTGGTTTGTTTGGATCAGCGTACTATTTTCAGCCATATAGACAAATGTTTTACAGAAGCATGCTTTGCTTATAATAGTAAAAATTACTTTCCATTGTGAAAATCTAAGTCCAAGTGCCTGGAAACGCTTGAGACTTTCATCTAATAACACATGTAGCCAGTCCTAATAGCCTGTTGTTCCTAATAGCCGTGGCTTCCGACCTGAAATAGAGTTTGGAAGTCAAACCGTGTTCTCTTGTCCTGTGTTTTAGCAATATACTTTTCTGTAACTGTTTTAGCGCTAACAATCAAAAAGTAAAGCTTCTTTTTCTGGTAATTTAGGGTTTCGAGATCTTCTGAAGGGATGTTGGTGCTAAGGTGGAATAAGTTTGTGCCCTTAGACAAATTCCCAAGTATGACACTCTATGTATGCCTCTATACAATTAAAATGATTAGAACTACTTGTTTTGTGCTTCGTGTTTTCTGTCTCGCTTTTGTTTAAAATAGTTGCCTTATTCTTGATTCTCTTGTCGCAGAGTCTCCCAGATTCTTTCATGTTCTGCGTTTTCTATAATTAAAGAACATATTGGTCTGTAGTTTAGGTCATTAAACTTCATCTCTGACAGACTTGAAAATATAAGAATTGTTTTATCGACAGTCTGCTAAACCATTGAGCAAAATAACCTGAGCAAATGTACAGGAATAGGGGAGGCATTATGTAAGGTTGCAAGTCAGATGATTTCTTGGCTAACACAAGGGGGGGTGACTCTGTGGTTTGGGGCTCCAATCTGGAGTTCTGTGCTTCACATGCCATAGCTGAGAGGATATTTTATTAATGCAAAGTACTTAGCAAAACTCGATTTTCTTTTTAAACTTTGTATCATGTGTACAACCTGTGATACATAATCAGCACAAGGAAGGCTGTTTTCTATAAGCGCTGTGATAATTTCGACCTTACAACCTATTGTCAGGGGAAAACAACAAAAGAACTGATGAGGCAGTCCTGTGTTATCTAGGGTAATAAAGGATGAATTGGACAAGGGTTAAAGTATCTTAAGATAATAGTAAAACCTTGGAAATGCAAATATTATGGTGCATACTGGAGTATATAAATCGATCCCATCCAGCCATAGCTCATCAGGGCATATTAGCCAGAACTAATTGTAGTATGCCAGGCAACCCAAATGTGTCTTTTTTTTTTTTTTTTTTTTTAGTGTCCCCAACCTTTTTTTGCTTGCTGCCAGCAGATCTTCAGTGATCCTTACAGCTAAATATTTCAACATGTGCTATGTCATCTCATAATGTGTTTATTTTGTATTTTAGGACAGTGAATGTCTCTGTACCAAAGAAAACCCGAAATAATGGCACGTTATATGCATATATATTTCTTCATCATGCTGGCATTTTGCCTTGGCATGACGGTAAACAGGTGCATATAGTAAGCCCTCTGACCACATACATGGTCCCTAAACCAGAAGAGATTAATTTGCTCACTGGAGAGTCGGCCATGCAGGTAGGTGGCTTTTCCATCTATAGATGAATAAGTGCAAAAAAAATAATTTGTTTCATAGACGCTTCTGGTGTTAGCATCTGCTGTGCTTGCACTTTTACACTAATGATGATATTAGGAAAAAAAAAATCAAACCACCTTTTCTCGATTATTAGCTTGTACACTAGTAGGAGACCGCTTAGCACAGCAGAGGTAGAACCCTTTGCAACACTGGCTGCTATTATAACACTTCCCTAGTTACCATTAATTACTTCTTTAAGGATTCATTACTTTTGGTGGAAATACTGTATTGTTCTGTTACAGCATGATGCTGCTTTCTATAGTGAATTAGATTCATGTGAAATAATATGCTCTGCTTTTATAAAACAGAGATACGAACTTGATTTTGACATTGGTGAGAGACCAATGTCAAATTGTTTCTTTTCCTTTAGGATGTTCTTTCTTTTCACTTCAATTCAAGAGAATAAGATAGCATCCTTTGACAAATGCGATGATTACTCACCAGGGAAAAAAAATGTAGTGTTGTTTAATGAAATACTTGTGAGTGGCTGTTGTGCCTCATATTAAGCAGAGCTTGAAAATTTCACTCTGGTCTTTAGCATCTGAAATACACCTATAGCCAGCAGTGCTGTTTCTAAATCCTGTCAGAATAAAGTCGAAAATGAGTTGAGGCTAGAGTGCAGCACTAGAAGTCAGAATAGGTGATGTTCATCCAAAGAAAAGCAAGTAGCATGCTCTGGGGATAAGTGTCTACTGAAAGCTAAGGTCACACTTGGTTTCAGCACTGCTTTACAGAGCATTTGGAAGCTCAGAAGTTCAAAACAAATGGTCTGATTTTTTTACTCCCAGAAATTGATATGGTTGATCATCCACATCCTTTTGACTGTTACTTTACAGTCCTCATTTCACTTTTTCTGACTAGTATCCAGATTCCTGAGGTACTAAGATTAATTAGCTGAATATTCATTCTTAATGAACAAGGCTGTGAATGGGCACTGAAGTTTTTCTGTGTCAGATTATGGTGGGCCTTTACAATCTGTTCTGTCATATTTGAGCAAAATACTTGAACTGGTCAAAATTGAGGTAAAATGTTTCTTAGTGGGCTTCTCTATTGTGATATAGTTAATGGCTCCATAGTTCTTGTGAGTTAGAGTATTATCCTGTTCAAAATTCTGTATTGTTTAGCAGTATGTATGTATGTTGTATTTTTAAAGCAAATTGAAGCAGAAAAACAGACCAATGCTCTCGATGAACCTGTCTCTCACTGGAGGTCAAGATTAACCTTAAATGTCATGGTGGAAGATTTTGTGTTTGATGGATCATCCCTCCCTGCTGATGTTCACCGTTACATGAAAATGTAAGTCAATGATTTAATTTTGCTGGATTTGTTATTATAAATTTACTGCACATTTCTTCAGAAATTCTCCCTGGCCTCCTTCAGTATTTTATGTTTAAATCGGTGCTTAGGAGACAAGAATAGATACTCTTAATGCTTGCCTTTCAGTAGTGACAATTAGTAAGATATTATGTACTGTAAAACCGTACAGGAGATCTCTTGTTCCTGGGCAGCTCAGAGTTTAGAATACTTTTTTTTGTACAGAGTTATCACAGCAAGACAAAGCAGAATGACAAAGACACAAGTAAAATGCTACAGCAGACTTCATTTCCCCTTGTTCTCAAATCATACTTCTGGCCTTTAAAGCAATTACTGTCCCTTGACCTTTGCAGTTATCCTTCATCTCCAAATTACCTGTGCAAACTGCAAGTGCCGAAGAAGCACAGCTAATCTCCTATGACATCTTTTTTTCTCCCTTTATGATTGGCTTTATTTTACTTTGACAATGTATGTTCCTACATTATGTCATTTTCTCAAGAAGATACTGAAAAGCAGGGATAGGCTTTTAGGCCACTAAATGCAGGCAGTAGTTTCTGTTCACAGCTTGCTTAAATTTCTTCCAGTGTTAACCATATAAATAGTGCTGTATTGGCTTGTGCTGTATGTTGATGCCTTTCTCTACAAGGACCCTGTTAAATCCAGAAGTAGTTGCTTAATCAGTAGACCCGAGGGTTCTGGGATAGAATCATAGAATCGTAGAATGGTTTGGGTTGGAAGGGACCTTAAAGATCATCTAGTTCCAACCCCCCTGCCATGGGCAGGGACACCCTCCAATAGACCAGGTTGCCCAGCTTCCCAGCCAGAATAGATAAACGTAGTAACTCATAAGATAGGCACATAACAAGAAAGGGTTGGACTGGGGTTGATGAACGAGGATGTTTTTTCTGGTCATGTTTAGATACGCATCAGTGCTGTTTTGTCATTGCATTATACAGGAAATAGTTTGGATATGAAATAGCTTGCTGCAATTCCACTAGCAGTAATTTTAATGGTAGTTATTACATAGAAATCTAAACCTCTTCAGTTAAATAACCAAGCAGACTTGATTTACTACTCTTCTGTATTGCTGTTGCCCATTGTATGTTCAGACTGCAGTCTTTCTCAGCATGCACAGAGACTTCTTTCTTTTGTCAACAACTAAAATTCAACTTTCGGGCTTTAAGAAGCTCTGTTATGCTAGTTCCATAAACTTCTACCAGGAACATCACAGTGTAGATAACTGCCTTTCTAGTGAAGAACTTTAAGAATTTGTCTCTCTCGGGGCATTGGGCTAAATACTTTTCTAAGATACCGACAAAGCAATTGCGTATAGGTTGTAATTTGCTAAATAACGTCCCAGTGGTCAGTATTGTAGAGGGCTCAAAGGCTGGGAAGTTTCTATATTGGCTTGATGCAGGTTGGTGAGGCGGTAGAGCAATCCAAACATGAGTTTCTGTTGAGCAGAAGGCAGAGAAGACTTCTGCTCCTAGTGCACTCTCTCCAGTAGTCTCTAGCCTTCCTATGTGTATGCCAACCATCGTGTTCATAGTCCTGTGCTAGCTAGAGCATGTGCTATTGCTGACCTGATAGATGTCATTGGGGGTGCAGAGGAGTCGGGGCGGTGGTGGAGAGTTGCCATTGGTGTAGAAGGAGACGGATACTTGAGACAAAGGATACAAATGTATGGTAGTAAACTTCAGCACATTTCAACATGCTTTTTAATTTTCTCTACCCTGTGTCATGCAGCAGCTTCAGCATCATCACAACCAACTTCATTTGTCTTTTTTTTTTTTCCCCTAGAGAAAAGTAAAAACAAACTAAAAGGAGAAATATGATATGCCTGATTTTTTTATGCAAACATCTCTTAATGAAAGACTCTAGGCTAGTGGCTTCTTTCTTGCTGTGTGTTAAAAGAAAATGTGCCTGAAAAGATGGTGGGAAATAGCTACATGAGTTGATCTGAAAGTGATGAATAAGTGCTAATTTGAATAAAAAGTAGTTTTCTTTTTAGATCACTACAGTCATAAAATCCATGTTTAAACATCCTAGGGTTCAGTTGGGGAAGACAGTGCATTACCTTCCAATATTATTTATTGATCAGCTAAGCAACAGAGTGAAAGATTTGATGGTGAGTAAGAGAATACCTTTAATTACATTTAATAGTTTTAACAGTAATGTGCAATGTTCTGTTAATTAAGATTTTGTCATACGTTGTTTACTATAATGAAAAAGCATAAATTCACAAAAGGACTCTATCAATGACTGTTTAACTTAATGTGGTCAACTGTAGTCACTGCAGAGGCTGGATCTGGGTTTTGAGAGAGACTCCCCTCTGGCAGAAGTATCTGCCAAGCTACTCCTGCCTATTCCACCAAAAGATACTTGGATTCCATTGCTTCTGCCTTTTGGGTGGATATGGAGGACATCACTGCAGCACCAGCTGTGGTGGGAGCAGTCTTGTGAGCAATTTGACTCCCTAAGCTGAAGAAGTTGTGTTAGCATCCCAGAGTGGCTTCTGATAATCTTCTAGGGAAATGAGCATACTGTGAACACAGCTGATACTGGAGCTACACTGAGATAAGTCAGCAGCTATTCTTTTCTCTCCAAGAAATTCACTTGTGGTTAAAGTTTCTGGTGGTGCTCTCTATCACGCTAGAGTAACTTGAGCACCTGAAGGCTTGGTGTTGCAGTGCATCCAGTGATTTTGTGCACTCAAACAAATCAAGACCTAGAAACTTCAGTAATGGAATTACAGCAGGATGACGTTGGATGAAATTTCTGGAGGTTGCTAGTCCCTGCTCAGAGTAGGATCACCTAGACCTAGAAACTTCAGTAATGGAATTACAGAAGGATGAGGTTGGATGAAATTTCTGGAGGTTGCTAGTCCCTGCTCAGGGTAGGATCACCTAGGCCGGGTTGCTCAGGATTTGTCTAGTTGGGTTTTGGATGCATCCAAGGATGGAGATGCCATAGCCTTTCCAGGCAACCGGTTCTAGTGTTCAGTCACCCCTGCAGTTAAAAAAAAAAAAAAAAGGTGGTTTTTTTAATACATTAATAGAATTTTCTGTATTCAGTTTTTGCCCAACTCTTCTCTTACGTGCAGTTCCTTTACTACAAGTTACACATGGCAGTCCGCTACATCTCAACCATGTTTGTCTTAGCAGCTCTTAGTTAAGCCCTGCAGTTCTTTTCAGTTGCACTGACTGGAATGTAGCAATCACTTACTGAGAAGAAAAGTCTTGGGGAGCGTGTCAAAACTGCTAAATGAGTATGTCTGGATTCAGCATCTTCTAGATGGAAGTCTTGGTAGATGTGAACTTTCCATAGACCTTCTAAATTGCCTTTCCAATTCATTAACTTTAGCTCAGACAAAGAATTTTGTTACTTAGTGTTGGGGAGAATCTTCTTTAAGAATTTGTATCCCCTCCACCCCAAGCTTGTTCAGCAAAATAAACTCCTGAGCATTTGTTAGAAATCTTGGTAGCGGATAGTTTTGCCCAGTATTTCTTTAGATACGCTTTTGTGATGTCTTGAAAGGTCATTGTCCTTTGTTTTAAGTTTCTTACCACAGCTCATTCAGTTCAGTACATTCATATGAGCTTCTAACTGGTCATGTACCCTGTTTACAAATAAACTCAGCATTCTCATGTTAATAATAACATTCCTGCAGTTGTCATGCATGTCATGGTTAATGCTATTGTAACTCACTGCCTTAAAGTCGTTAACAATCCCGAGAAGTGCTGCAAAGTTCCATCAAAACTAGCAAACTTCCCCTTCAGCACTGGCTTATGTGACTTCTCAGTAGTGACTTGCCAAACTGCTCGCAAGCCCTGCAGAAAGAGTGGTCTGATAGTATGCACGCTGTGAGATAATGAGGGGTAGGTGCAGAACAGGAAGAAGGTGATACAGCTCTTGTGGCGATACAGCATTTGGCTGTAAACAGGGGCATAGATGCTGTTTGGTGTGCCCGACCTAGAGTCATGGAGCCAAAGGTGCATTTTCCCTGCTTGTGCTAGGCTGCATAGATTTTGAAGTGACTATTATTTTGGCCCAGATGTAGGTCTAGAGGTTATGGGTTCCTCATGTTCTTATATGTTCTTGCCAACGCTGGGAGTTTGGAGATTACACAGGATTCTGATTTAATAGAGAGAAAACTTTAAAATTCATATGCTGAACTTACTTGCTTTGTTCACACACTGTTCTGTAGTACTGATAGAGTGCTAGAAGTAATATGTGATGTTCTGAGGCTGTACTACAAGAGTAGGTTGTATTGCAGAGGTTCAGTAACTCCCTCATTTTCAGAGGCTTAGCAATCATAACACTCAGCTAGGTTGTGAGGCAACACTTGTGGACTTCTAATTGTTCATTGAGAAAGAGTTCATTCTTCTAATCTTTATATGTTCATTTAATTTGCTTTTGGCGTTGAAGAATTCCTGTCTCCGTCTTGTTTTGCAATCTGATTTTCTCCGTACACTACCTGTAACTCCTTAGTAGTGCTTTGTCTGTGGAGAGTGCAGTTGCTGCATGTTTTGTTTTCTGTCTGTCCTGCATAAATAAACTTCTTTTTCGTTTTCTCTCAGAAATGCTGATGCTTTCTTTGATAGGCTGAGATATTGAAATGAGAATGGAGGGATTACAGGCATCCTTTAAAAAAGCAGCAGCCTGGAAGATGTTTATGTAGCTTTTGGTAAACAGCTGTAGAATCTCGCCAGCATTGTCTACTGTCAGCTCTAACCACATTGTTTTCACCCTATTTTGTTGTTTGTTTGTTTGTTTGTTTTTTCCCCAGACAGTTCAGAGATTCCTGGCACCGTTCTAGTTTCTCAAGCTTTCTCCCTGCTGTGTTTATAAAACTTTCTCAGCTTCCCTTTCTCTCCCATGCATGCATGTTCTGCCACTGTCTGAAAAGCTTACAGGGTCTTGGGAGGCTGGGGAGATTGAGAATTGTTTGTACTCACTGGAGGAAAGGGTGAAGAGGAGAGTGAATGTCATCCCCAGTTCACACCTGACTGCTACGTGGGGAGGCTAAAACCATGTTCTGTACCGTAAGGATCAGAAGAAGCCTATTCATGTCAGTGTCAGCTAACTAATTACTGTAGAAATAGATGCAGCGTAGAGCAGCAGTTCTGAGATGGGAATTATGATTGGCTAGTAATTAGGAGCCTGGAGCAATAGATCTCAAACTGTTGCAATTCAGAATGCCTGCCTGTCTGCAGTCTTGAGCTATCCTTAAAAGTTGAAAATTTGCACCTAGGTAGCTACGGGGAATTCTAACATCTGCAAGGTCAATTTTTTTTTTTTTTTTTGTTTTAAACTTATTTGAGAGACAGACACCTATCAAGCAGAAGGATGTGAGGTAATTTAAGATTTTTTTTTTTTTTTTTCCCCCTAGCTTAAGGGGGCCCCAGGTAGTTCTTATCATAACTAAAGTGTAGATGATACAGGAGGATTAGCTGAAATTATTTCTCTTGGAGCAGGAAGAGGATTTCTGTGACACCCCATATCCCAAGTTTTGCAGGCAGGGTAGCTTGCTTAGCTTTAGCTGTGGTGTCTTCACCAGTTTGGGTAAGTAGTATCATCTTGCTTCCCCACCTTTTGTTTTGGTATGAGTTGTTTTAACTTTAATTTCTCTCAGAAACAGCCTCAATTTAGTAAAGTTTTGACTATGGCCTTTGGGATGTGATTTCTATTTTTTTTCATCCTCTAGTTTAGGTAATCTTAGCATATACTTTCAGAGAAAAACTGTCAGAAGAGAGAATTATCTTAAGCACACTTTTCCCACTTGAGACCAACAGAGGGAACTTTATGGAAACATCTCAGAGGCGTTTGTATACAGTAATAGTGAGGTTGCTGTAAGAACTTGAACAGAACAAACTGCTAATTTAGCATTTCTTGGAAAAAAAACACCAAAGACTTCAAGCATGGTATAAGAAATCTAAGATTTTATTCCCTGTCAAAAAACAAACTGACCTCTTAAAATTGTGTGATTAAATTAGTGTGATATAATCACTTTCCTTTATTTAAAAAAAAAAAAAAAAAGAAATAATTGTTGCAAAATTTCTGCTATTAAAAATGAAACTCAATCTTTTTGAAATACAGGTTATAAATCGTTCTACAACAGAGCTACCTCTTACAGTGTCATATGACAAAATATCTCTTGGAAAACTCCGATTTTGGATCCACATGCAGGATGCTGTGTACTCCCTCCAACAATTTGGTATGTTTTTTATCTTTAATGACTTTAGGCCAAAACCACCCCCTCAATTTTTTTTCTTGTAAGTACATAGATGACACTTAACTCTTTTTTTTTTTCTGGATAGCTGGTGAAAAGGTTTAATGCTACAAATTTTACGTTGTTTTACCTGAAGGTAAAGATAGAAATAAAATGTTGTCAGGTGGTAGGAAACAAGAATACAGAGGTGAATTAACCATTTTAAAAATAAATTTTATTTGAATAGTACTACCATAAAAGCATAAGGGGCCAAAATAGAGGAGAGACTTTTTGCCACAGGTTTCCCCTATGATCCATGGAACAGAAGAGCTGGATCAGTGTTAGACAAGCTTTGCTAGAAGCTATATGTCGCTGGTCACTCTAGCCCATATGTACAGTGAAATACAGGCAGGCACAGCAAAGTCTTTGGGCTCAAGCTGAGCATGAAGAAGGAATCTGGGTTCTGATCATACTGCTTCTGACACTTCAGATCTGGCTGGCCTCTCACTTTGGCTCGCTTACAAATTTGTAAGGTAATTCAGATAATAGTTTCATGCGTGGAAAGCCTCCAGTTTAAATTCTGTGTTTCGCTTAAATGTAATGGAGTAAGTGTACACCTTCACTCTGAAGTTCATATGCTCTGTGTTGGTGATGACATAGCCAAGCTTTTACTGTCTTTAAATGTTTCTTCCACTAATGCACACCTTTCTAAGTCTAATCATGACTCTTAAAAATCTGCATCTTATTTTCAGGGTTATCTTTGCAGACTTAGTTCTCTCTCAGTAGACTGTAGTTGGCTTCTTTACGCTAGAGTAAGGAAGTACGTTGTAACTGAACTGGTGATGTATATGAATGTAGGATTTTTTTTCAGATCCTCTCTTTTTAAGCTCTACAGACAGCAATTTAAACTTTTTTTCAGGCCAAGAGATCTTAAAAGCTCTGTGCCGTATTATTTTAGTGATTCTTGAATCCTTCCCAGTTGTTGTTTTTTTTTTTTTTAAATTTTTTTTTTTTAAATGCAGATAGATATAGTATTCTACTAGTTTCCCAAGAGACGTACGCAGGGGTAATGCTGCTTCCATACTACTCAGTGTTGTTCTTTGTTCACCAAAATTTAGTCAGTAAGAGGGAGAGGGTTTGGTTATTCACTGTAATCTCTGAATTAGTATTTTATGACGGACGACTTAACATTTAAGGCACTGATTCTTCTGGGGAAGAAAAAAACAACTCTGGTTCAGCACTAGTTTCAGAGTGTAATATTGTAAGACACAGTACCTGTATACAGTGTAACTTAACTGAGAGTCTAGACTTTGTCCATTTCTTTTGCAGCCTCAGCTTTTCTCATGTTTTGTTGGGGGAGGGAGGGCAGGTAAGGAATAAGGTCATCCACAGTAGAATCCAGCTGTTTCTCCTTAGTTCAGGCTAATGCATATCAAAGCTACAAAGTATGTCTGCTTAAAATAACTTCAAAATAACTGTCTTGAAAGAATTGAGTAACTGCTTGTTCAGAGTTTGTGTGAGGCATTTGACCACCATCATTTCTCCATAAATTTTTGTGAGTCCTCTCAGAATGGCATAATTGACATTTTCATGTTCCATGTCTTGGCTGTCTTGTGATGGACATGTAGATCAAGACCTATCATCCTAGGAGTACCTCCTCTGCCTGGAACAAAAGCTTATCTAAGATGCTGCTTGTTTCCTATGTGCATGCAGATAGTGAAACATAAAGTTTAAAGTATTCCTTTTGGAATAACTTATGAAAAGGTCACCTTAGATCACTAGCAAAACTCCAAAATCACTTGAAAATTGGTAAATTCACATTCTTGCTGTGATGCAGGACAGCTGATAGGACAAAGTAAATTGGTACTGAACTCAACGGTTTCATAACTAGCACCATTGCTGTAAATGAAGCATTGTGTATTTTCTGAGAACAGTAGACTTCAATCACAGTGACTGGAACTTTACTTCATGAAGAAAGCATCTTAACAATGGCTGAAGGATTTCAAAGGGATGCTGTATCTTCTGGAAAACACACTCTTTGGTGCTGGCAACAGTATTTATCATGGACAGGTTCTAACTTTTTTTTAATTAATGGTTGTCTAGTATATAACAAGAAAGCAACATTCCTCCTTTAGGAGAATTGCAAGACAGTAGAAAATATGTATTCAGCTTCAGGTTGTGATTTCTGGAAGGTGCTTTGCCTTTCTCCGTTTATCAAAGAGAAGCTTCCAAGTTAATTCTGCAAGGACTGTCAAAGGAGTTGAAGCCTAATCCACAATGTGGGGTCTGTACGGTTGCATATATGGCCATGTTTCCCACTGATCTTTGTTGTCCTCCATGGTGTAGTCTTTTTCTCATTTTTCAGTTTTTAACATGAAGCTCACTTATATGTATCAAATAAAAGCTCAGAGACTAAGTTTGAATAATCCTTTGTCTTTCCACACAGGAAAGATTGACTTCCTGTGCTTGCCTTTTGTGTCTCTGGTACTCAGTTTGGGTTGTAGTTACACAACATGTTAAGGGCACATCAGCCTGCTTGTAACTGATGGGTTTTGTTTAAGGCAAGCCAAATAACTAGCCAAAATATAGGTTTTACCAGTAAAGCTGCCATCTTGTTTTGGATTTATGATTCCTTCATAAAACATGTGCAGATGAAATAAGATTCCTTTCACACTGGACTCTAGCATAACAGCAATTAACTGTCTAGTATTTCTTGCATAATTACTTGTTTTTTCTCTTAGGGTTTTCAGAAAAGGATGCAGATGAAGTAAAAGGAATTTTTGTTGATACTAACCTGTACTTTCTGGCTTTGACATTCTTCGTAGCAGCTTTTCATGTAAGTGGAGAAACTTTGTTTTTCAGGGACTACAGCATATGAAATAAAAAAAAAGGAGTGGGGGTGGGTTGAACTTCAACTCTTTCATTTATTGAGAATTATTCTTTGAAATAGTAATTTCAGTAGAGCAATAGAAGAGGTTTCTGTTAAAAGTCAGCTGTATTTCCAATACCAAGTTAATATACAAATCTCAAAGAAGATAGAAGTATGAGATGACTAGGTATAAACAAAACAGTCTTGACTGAAATATAAAACATTTAATTTCATTATCATCACTTTTTTTTTTTTAGCTGAACCAAAGCACCCAGAGTTAATATGTCTGTCAACATTGGTTCACATTTTCTGCTAAGCTGAGTTCTCACAAACCTTATTGCTGCAGTGGCATAGCTCAGGCACCGACAGTAGGGTTTGAGGCTCTAACTTCTAACCCCCAGAGAAATTTAGATCAGCTGATGCAGATTACTTCCAAAAATTGTCGCTGTAAAGTGCAGAGCTTGTGGCTCTAGGCATGATTGTTTGTTGTGTCTCTCTGTCAGCATTGTGTGTGTCTTGGTTTAAATATGAATGCATTTTTAACAGTTCAGCTGGTAGTCTTTAACTAGTGCATGTTTGAGTAAATGAGTATGTTTCTTGCTATTTGCAGCTTCTCTTTGATTTCCTTGCATTCAAAAATGACATCAGCTTTTGGAAGAAAAAGAGGAGCATGATTGGGATGTCTACAAAAGCAGGTATGAGCCAGAATGTGAACTGTTGTGCGTGTGCTATCTAATATATACTGTGTGTTATTAGTCTTACTCTAAGTTGAAACTTTGTAGATTCACCAAGATGGCAAAATGAGATGTATTTGTGTATGAAAAGAAGATGGCTAATGGGCTGGTTCTAACTTCGTTAGCACCGTGCTCAAGTGTCACTTACTTTTAAGACCTCATGTCACTTCTGATGTTTGACTGTCTCACACTTGAGAATAAGTTTAATATTAAAGTCAGTCACCAGATTTCCTGCGGTGAAGGAACAGAAAAATACTTTGACAAAAGAATAAGGACCAGAAGAAAATCCTGTGGGTGGAGAGAATGTACTATCATGGGTAATGCTGTCCTGTGAGTCCCCTGTGATCCTTGTAGATAACTACAGGTTCCAAAATATTTGGGAGGGAAAATGCTGTAGTATAATGCTGTTATTTGATTTGGTCTTTGGTGTAAACAGGAGCAGAAGAAGCTCTTGCGGGAGGCAGGGAAGAGCATAGGAGGGTTGAGTTGACTTGAAGGTAGGGAAGATGAAAGAAACATAATGGCATAACATCCTGCCAAGCCTTCCTAGAGACAGATGAAGGTAGTAGCCAGCCCTGGACGCTTGAGGTTTAACACCCCACTCCCCAGCATTGTTTATTATGCTAATACTGCTTGTTTTTCTAATAGTTTTTCCCACTCTGATTATAAACCAAAATGGTAAACTTGGAGTCACTGGACCTCTGAGACTATCCCTAATTCTGTCATATATATGGATTGATTAAAACATGTGAGGAATATCAATACCAGGAAAAAACTTAGACATTCTAAATTACGATGAACAGCAACATGTTTGTCTCATGTTTCTCGTTTCTCTGTTTATTGTCTTCATCGGAGTGCCTTTGGTTTTGTAAGACATTTATACTGCTGTTGGCAAATGAATGCCAAAAAGTTAGTAAAAATTCAAAATCGTCCATGAAATTTCAAAATTAGTGTTAATTGCCAGTTTTAAAAGTGAGTAAAGTCAAATTGGAAAGACTGAGTGACAAAGGTTTTTTTAATCTTACTGTCAAAGTATCGATCTTCAGTCTCTGGTAATCGATGGTTTCATCCTCTCCTTAGCAAGCCTAATCACATTTCTGCCTGTATCTCCTTCTTGCCCTGAGGAAGAAGTGCAACAGGCAGTTGCTCTGGAATCGTACAGTGTAATCGTTGATGTCTGAGTGTGTCGCAGCTCTTCTCTCTTTCTGTTCCTGCTTAGGAGGATGGATATTTGAATCTAAGAAGTAGTTGGTAGACACTTAGAAGCATCCAAGGTTTTGCAAAACCTGAAAAATAACCCTAAAATAAACTTTGTAACATCTACAAACATTAAATTAGTTGCATGAGTTTCAAAGCCTGACATTATGTTACCTCACAGCCTTTCAGCTTCCTCAAGACAAGAATCATGAACATAGTTCATAATGGAACTGATACATTGCTGACTTGCTGCAGTACAGAAGTTTTCCTTAAATATTCTGATTTCCTTTCATCTTTTGTAATACGGATTTCATAAAATGTTTTTGTTCCTTATTTGCCTGGAGGTATACAGGTCACTGACTGTTTCTAGGACTATTTGATATCTCAAGATGTATATAGGAGAAGTTCATGCTTAAAGAATGACAGAATTGTAGTAAATAGGCCAACAGTGTTCTGTCAGCTCAGCTGTTCATTTAAATATTAATAAGCCTTTTGTTTTCATTTTTTCTGTCTAGTGCTTTGGCGGTGCTTTAGTACTGTGGTTATATTTCTTTTCCTTTTGGATGAACAAACAAGTTTATTGGTACTAATCCCGGCAGGCATTGGTGCAGTGATTGAGGTGAGTTCTTAAAGCTCTAGAACCGAATACCAGTATTCACAGCAACATCCATAGTTTATTGTAGAAAAAGAATGCTCAGCTAGTTGCTGGAAAAATTACTGCTGGTGTAGTATGCTGTCTTAGCAGTGTTAACTGGCTTTCAGGGTAGAGGAGATTGTGACCCTTTATCAAATAACTAAACTGGAAGTATGAGGTTTTTCTGGGATGAGTCAGCTGGTATTGTGGAAACCAAACATAGAGCTGTGCTGAGGTTCCTTCCTATCGCATCATCTGATAGGCATCACTCCTGATGAGGTATGTATAACCATGTCAGCAAACCTTCCTGGAAACAGTGTGCCGTCAGACAGTGCCACAGGTCTGCAGCTTGCTCCTTGGCCATGACTGAGGTGCTTGGGGAAGGAGGGAAAGGAGGAGACTGCTGGCTGCGTTCATTATTCCAGCAGAAAATTTTTTACGTCTGATGTATTTCTGTGTGTTAAGTTTTCTGTATCAGATTTGCTGGAGGTTTTGTTTCTATAAATAGAAATTTAGGCTTATGTTTCAAAATTTCTTTAGCTGTCTGAAATTTTAACAAAGTTCCAGGCATAAATATATATCCCTGTAAATATGCTGCTACTTTTGTAGAATGTCTTTTAATTTGATCCTTGAGATCTAAATAACTAAATTTAAAAAAAAAATCCTTGAATATAAAGACTTCAGAAATTCAAAAGTATCAAATGGTTTGAAAGTGCATCAGGTCAAGAAAAGCGATGCTTTTGTTTGGTTTCTAGTGAAGAAGAAGAAATAGCCCTAGTATCTAAATCACTATTTTTTTTCAGAAGTTTTAATGGAAACCAGATGAGGCATCTACGGTTGTAGGGTAACAGGAACGATCTCTCATGATGTTCTGAACACTAGTTTCTCATACAGTAGTAATAGTCACATTGCTTCTGTACTAAGTAATTTTCTCACTTGCATCAAGGATGACAGTAAAGGATCATCTTTACCACATTGCACATTTTTGTTTGGAAGATATGATGGGTGAGAAGAGAATAATGATGTATGTAAAGTTAAACAAACAAACCTTGTCCACAAAAAGCTTCATGGAGCATAGCTCTCCTGGTGAGCTTACTGCATTGCCTGAGTTGTTGAACCTGTATAGCAGGGTGGGTACATCCTGTACAGCAGGGTGGGTACATGAGTGAATTTTCAGGTGTGCTGAACCTTTGGTTACGTTAGGGTCAAGCTGTTACAGCTGTACAGTATGTAGGCAGATGGTTCAGTGGATTCACTGACTTTTGCTCATAGCCCACTACTGAAACGTGATGACCATGGAAGTGCCCACTTGATCACTGTTAGGAGCTCTGAGGCACCTCCATCTTGCAGACCCCAGCTGACCTTGAAGGCATGTAAAAACGCTTGGCAGGTTTTACGGGAGAATTTTTTACGGGAGAATTCTCTAAATGCTTGACCTGAGATGCCTGCTGGTGCTGAGAGCACCTAAGCGCTGCAGTCCAGGTATCCTGGAAGGACTACGTTATTTCACTTACGGTACATCATCTGATATGGAGTCTTAATAGTGCAGGCTCCCCATGTCTAGTGACGTGGCATTTGGTTTGTATAGAGACGCAGGCAGTGTGCTGCAATTAGGCTGATGCAGCTTTATGCAATGGGTGCTTAGAATAGATACTCTGGGGTCTTGATTCTGATTATCTGAATCCTGCATAAGACATTATTTTGGATAATCCTTTATGTGCACATTTTGGTTTTGCTAATCACAGCTCTGGAAAGTGAAGAAAGCTTTGAAAATGACAATCAAGTGGCAAGGCTTGAGACCCAAAATTCAGGTATAGTAGACATTGACCTGTTAATGATTACATTCTTGAGTTGTCCATCTGTTTCCAGGTTACTGTGCAACTTGGCTTTTAGTGAAATGAAGATTCTAAAAAAAAAAACCCAACTATTAAAGTTTCCTATGTAGATCTTCTCTTTATGGATGGCTTAATCCAAAAGCTGAACGAGCATTTTCAAACTTAAAAACCTCTTTGATGAATTCTGTAGAAGCAGCAGCTATTATTTGTACGTATTTATGGTGTGAGAAACTTCAGAACTCCTCTGTCAGTCCTGCTAAAACTTAGCAGGTGGGACTGTGCTCCTGCCACTGTGTCAGAAAGGCATTCTTAACTGACATTGTGATTTAAAGTAAGAAACTAAATATTTCATGAAGCTGTAGGTATGCCTTCTTCATTGTGGAACTAGTAGAAGACATGACATGTTCTGGGGACAGGACAGCCTTTGAGAAATCCTCTGGGTAAAAATTAAATCCTGAGACTGTTTGCAGGAGATGCAGTGGCAGCAGGGGTCCAAATTAACATTATTTTTTGACGTGAGTGTAATCTTTTTAAAGTACAATCTACACTGAAAGTTTCTCTTGTTGGTAGGAGAAACAGTTGCTAATCTTCAGTGTTTACTTCACAAGAAGTATTGGGGTTTTGTGCTGCCAGAAGTCTGTGCATCTTGAGTGGCTGATAGCTCTGGTTGTTCCTTTGTCAATATTCAAGGAACTGTGTTTAAGCAGTCACAATTTGTGGAGATAATCCATAACTGACCTCTTAATGCATGAAAATGGTTATGGTTTTTAAAAATGGCTTCCTGTATCTGCCAGATTCTTAGCCACTTGACTTTGCTTTTGCTTTGTGAAGTCTGCTGTCTCAACAGCATTTTTGTAAGTAAAGAAATCCTGGATGTTTGGTGTAAAATATGAAGGGAAAAATAGAACTTTTTTGCCTACCCTGTATTTAGCAGGCTTATAAGAGCTTTGAACTGTTACCTAGCTTAATGTCTAAGCAGTTTAGTTTGCAGTTTAAATCTCTGTGTAGGGAGTCAGATACCAAATGCTTTTCCCTCCAGTTCTGACTTGATTATGCTTTTTACATATTTGCAGTTTGGTACATACAATGACTCTGAAAAGAAAACTGAGGAGTATGATACCCAGGTAAGAGAGAATCCTGTGGCTTCTGATCTATAGAGTCTATGTGGCCTACTGATTGACTTGTTTCACTCTTTTTATTGCTGCAAGTGTTCTCTCATAGTTGTCATGTGGATCATCACCATGTGGATGATCAGATAGTGGAGATTCATTCTGGTAATTTATGAAAAGAAATAGCGAAAGAGTTCTTCTGTTAGCTGAATCTGGTTGAAATATTTCTCTGAGAAGCAGAATTGCAAGTGACTTACCTGAAGAGAAATGTCCTAAAGGGTCTTCATTCACAAATTTGAAAATTGATAATTGTACTTGTCATTTATACTGGAGGAATGTTCATGTGCTTCCTGATTTCTGAAAAGAGTTGAACATAGGTGGCAACATTGGTGTTAAGCAGAGAGCTACTCTTAGACCCTGATCCTCGTGCTGCCTCTTGTTGCTTATGCTCTAACGTCCTTTGTGGTCTGAACTGATCATTGGAATTTTTATCACCTTCTCTACAACTGGAAGTATATTGGAAATAATAGTAGACATTTGTGAATAGGAAAAAATTTTCAGGGAAAAAAAATATGTGACTGTCTTCTCGTTAATGCCATGAAAAGTCTGCTGTATATAAAATGTGAACTAACAAACTATCTTCCTTGTCTGTTAGGCTATGAAATACTTGTCATATTTGCTCTATCCACTGTGTATTGGAGGTGCAGGTTACTCCTTGCTGAACGTCAAATACAAAAGGTATCATAAATCATAAATGATTTTCTACAGAATTGAAGCATTCCCCATTTTTTTCTATATTAATTAATTGGAGATGATGGGTTATGGAAATCAGTTATTTTACTTTGCTCAATTCATAAGCCAGGAACTGGAAACTTCCTCATTCTATAGGAGCTAAAGCTGAAGTGTCTAACTGTTTGTTGGGGTTTTTTTAACATCCTGTAAGCTACAGGTTGTTGTATTTTGCAAGTAACCTGATATAACTAGTATAGATTTCAATAGCTTGCATACATGAGTAAGCCATCAATCAGAAGAGCAGAAAGAAAGCTGGCACTGATGTTCAGAGAACTGGTAAGGTGACAGGAGAGATGAGAAGAATTCAGTGGTTAAACCTGTCCAGTAACAGAGAGAAGCAAAAACTGTCCCAAAATTATTTGCTCTGAACAAGAGGTTCCTCTGTTCCTAAATATGATAGCTAGGATGGCAAGCCAGCAACAGCGTTTTTAAGAATGGACTCGATTCCTTTAGAGACATGGGCTTTTACTGCAACATACTGATACTTCAGCAACAGACTCAGTATTTCATGAAAAGGTGGAATACTTGTCCACTTTCACTTAAAATAATACAATTAGTTCATTTTGTATTGGAGAGATGCACGCAAGTATGCAGCCACGAGACTTTGCTGTAGGAAAAAATCTGCAAACGCAAGTATGGTTATGGCCATGTAGATGGGGTTTTTGGCGTTTTTTTTTTTAACAGTCTTTAGTCCCAGAAGGGGTGGGAGGGAGAACAAGCAGTAGCTTAAAATAACATCAGAAAGAACTACTGTTGCTGTATACGTGGGCCATAGCACTTGTGCTAGAAACTGGGGCGATTTCTAGGCTATTAGAAAAGTATTTTTTTCAGAAGGTTCTTGTCTTGGTAAGGAGCTAAGAAATATGCAGCGTTTAAAAATCCTGCTTTTCTCACAAAATTCTTAAATTCATCCAGTACTGCAAAATATTACATGCCAGGTGTTCTGTGAACTGTAGCTTGAGAAAGTGAAAACAATTCATAATCATAGAATTTTTGTCAGTGTTAAATCTATTTGTAAGGAAATGTGACGGAACAAGTAATCTTAACAGTGGATTATCTTTTAATCTCGCAGCCATTTTCTGATGCATTTTTTAGATGTTTGTGGATTAGTGAAATGCTGCCACAGCTGTAACATTGCTATTAACATGTCACTGACACAGCAGTGCAAGTTTAATTTTACATAATATAACCTGAGCATCACAGTTATGAGCTGTTGGTACTATCACAAGCAGAAGTATGCAATTTGACCAGTATCTGTAATGCCACTGGTATTTTACTAAGATTGTGCTCCTGGGAAGGCTTGTTAGATGTAAGGAAGGGAAAATGTAGATTGCTTGTATTTACCTTTTTGTTGGTTTTGTGGTTTGGTTGGTTGGTTTTTTAAGTGCCTACTATAGTGATTTGCACTGAGTGGTATTTGTTGATTGAAATTTGATAAGTCCTTACAATGCCATATTAAGTGTCTCTTTAGTATTTAGAATATAGTGTTACCTTTGCGAGTCTTAATGCAGTCGGGGTTCAGTGCACAGTATTATCTGATGTCTTTTTGGGTGCAGAAGTCTTAGAACATTCTGAAAAAGTATAAAAGCAGTTGATAAAGCTCTCCAAACTTGTTGAATGTGCTGATAAACATCCTTTGCTTAAACTTTTCACACCTTCTCTGGAGCCCTTCCTAAAGCAAGGAAGATGTGAGGTATTTAGTTCTTACATAAAGTAATTCACAACACAGCCACTTCTTGGAGTAGTCAGCATGCAGTCATATAGAGGATGTATTACAGGAGTGCGTATATATATATTTTTGGCTGAGGTGAAAAAATAACTGAACTGGCTTCTTTCTTTGTAGCTGGTATTCCTGGTTGATTAACAGCTTTGTCAATGGTGAGTCCCTTCTTGTGTTGTTTTTTTTTTCTATTCATATTTCTTCAAATGGAGGCCAAGACACAAAAGTAGAAAATTAACTGCTATCCACTGGATCACTGTAATATAGAGCAATAACTTGACTGGAGGTTCCAAAATTATCACAGTGATTGAGAAGGGGAGAAGAATCAACCCAAAGTGAAACAAAAGGATTAGATGCATCTTCTCTCTTCAGGAAAATGAGTGTAAATCTCTAATTGTGAAAGTATAGTTGTGTGGTGTACTTCTGTGGTGCATTTGTCCGTAAGTTTTCCATCTTTTATCTTCAGGAGTGTATGCTTTTGGATTCCTGTTTATGCTGCCCCAGCTGTTTGTAAACTACAAGGTAAGATTAAAAATTAATAAAAGACTACTTTTTTTAGTCTATTCCAGAATTTATTACAAATTTGTATTTTTAATCCTAGATGAAATCTGTTGCACACTTACCGTGGAAGGCTTTCACATACAAAGTAAGTAAAGCTCTAATTTAAAGATTGGTGCAGTCATTTTGGAAATAGTTTTCTGTGAGAAACAGCTTAGTATTATGTAGCTTAAGGCTGACAGTTTAAGAACTAAGCTGACAGTAAAACCAAATTTGTTTGCATGTTTAAAAAAAAAATTGATTTCTATTTTTCATAATGACTTCCATATAATGAGAATACCTGCATCCTAGTTTTGATGATAATACTGGTTTTTCTACTGTCAGCTGTCTTGCATGGGTGCAAATGTTGGTCCTGCAAATAAACTGCTCAGTCTCAATACATTATTTTGGGAAGAGAGAGGATTGTATTAACAAAGGATAGTTCTCAAGAAACAGACAGGCCCACTAGGAGACCTTAATTTGGCAGGTTCCAGGAGCTACCAGAGGCTGAAGTAATGTACACACTGTTCTGTGCTGGGGTGGGATTTCTGAGCTGCTGGGCAGTGTAATGACGAACGTGGTGGGTGGTTACACAGTGGAAAAGGGGCAGCACTGTGGTGTCTCCACTGCTTAGACTGCCCTTGTAGGAAATAATGTGATGCTGTAGCAAAGCTTAACACCAGACCTTGGAGGAGGGAAAGGTGAGTTGATTTCAAAACAAAGTCAACTTACTAACCCTTTGATACCTGCATACCCACAAGCCAAGCACCCACATGAGTGTCCAAGTGGTTTGTGTCATACTCAGGCACCAAGACGGATGTACCTGAGTATCCCAGTCAGGATTCCTTGTGCTGATATGGAGGACAAGGGACATCCACTGTTGAGTTCCTGTTTCTCCTACGTTCTTCCTCAATCGACAGCTATGTGCTAGTTTTGTACCCCTAAAGAGCTGGTAGTATTTTGATTCCATCCTTGCCCATCATCTGTGAGTCATTAGGATTTTTTGTACTGGCATTTCTTTTCCTGATCATTGTGACCTGAGAAGCCCTAGATGGATGTGCTAGCATCACCAGGATCTTGATACCATCAACATGTGCCATGTTCCGCTCATAAATGCTTTCATTTATTCTTCTTTGTGCCGATGTATTATGATTCTCCAGAACATGAGTACTTAAAAAGAAACAGCATTAGAAACTGCTCAAGACATGGTGTCCAATTCTAAACAGATGATCTGGGACAAAAGAACTAAAATCTTAAAGTTTGAAGTGCCTTTCATAGCTTTTCTGTTTCTGTGAGCCTACAGCAATAGCCCAACTTTCTGCTGCTTTAATGTTTTTAAGAAATCATGGATCATCTAGGAAAACTTTGAAATAGAGCTGGTAGCAGAATAGCAACTAAACAGTGTTCAAAATGGAAATATAGTAGGAAAAAAAAAAATCAAGTGTCTCAGACGTATACTAGGCAAGTCAGCATGTTTCTTAATAGGGGGAGTAAAAGGTACATTAGTGACCTAATTTTACTTTAGCAACAAAATACAGTAACTGAACAGAGACATCAGCAGTTAATTAGGCAACAAAGGACAGTATTCCAGCAAGTAACCTTTAAAGCAACAGAATTCTGTTGCTGAATAGCCTTTTCTTACAGAGCGTTTATGCTTCCTGTTAAGATGCCAGAGGCTACCCACAACAAAGGCTTGTGTGTATGGAGAAAGAAGTATATGATGTTTTCAATTATGTTTAACTTACTGGTCTTTGGAGGGGGTAATTTACTTTTTCCTAGCGGATGTTTAAAGTTGCTTGCTCTCTTCTGCACTTTGAAGAGTGGAAAGAATAGTCTGAGGTCTCATCTGTGATTGTTGTTTTAGAGAGCTTTGGGTTTTTTCTTTAATTTGAACTCTTTCCTGTTTTGGAAGACCTTGGCAAAAATGAAGATCAGTCTTAACTTTCCAGTTCCTGTAGTCTTTATGTTTATGCTCTTCATGCTTTTATGAGGAGTACCTTCATATGAGGTCATCCCCAACAGAAAACTACCTAGACTGAATACTATTAGATGGGCTGCCTTGATGCGTTCAATTTTAGTGGCTCATGAGGACTGCCTAAGTGCCTGAAGGATGGAGCATTTAACTCTTTCTTCCTTTCATGGTTGTAGGATCACTCACTTGGGTGTTGACTTGGAAAGGCTGCCTTGTCCGTCTTGCCAAGTTTTTGTTCCATGACAAACCTGCTTTGCACAGGCTTGAGAAGTGCCATCCATATTCTTTGATAACTTCAGATTGATGGATTTGTTTTGACTTGCCAGAAAGAGCTTTCCTGTTGTAGAAAGAGCTTTCCTGTGGAACTCTCTCCTGTCCAACACCCCCATCTTCTGCTGAGGCTTTGTTTCACCATAATAAGCCTTGGTTCATTTTGAAGAGTGAGTTGTCCTCTGCTTAGAAAATACATCCTTTTCCCCCTTCTTATGGTATGGATTTAGGTACAGCTTGCTAATATTGAAAGGAGAAGCCATGTTACTGACTCAGTCTGTTAACCCAACGGTGAATATTCTTTGGATTTGTTTCCTGCTGGCTTTTATAAGTTGAAAGTTTATTGCATCATATGATGAGTACTAGAGCTGGTGCACTGTAAGAGACCATTTCTAGTCCTCCCTGTAGGCTAGAGCCAGATCCAGGGGAGCTGCCCTTCTGTTTACTTTCTTTACCTCCTCTGACAAAATACTGTTGTCTTTGCATGCTTTCCCAGCAGATGTCTGGGAATTTAAGCTTTCTCACTTGAGAAGCAGTAGTGAGAAAATATTTCATTATTGCTTCAGAAACAGAACCCATAGTATGCTTAGTTGAGTGGAAATGGTGTAGAAAATTATGTCTTGGATAAGGGATGGATGATTACTTCTAGGAGAGCACTGAAAATATTTTAAAATCTCTCCAAGACTGTCAAGTTAATGTTCTTAAGAGCAATAAATTAACAAGTTTTTACACAAATTTCAAATTCCCACAGAAAATGAAAGTAAACTGACATTTTCTAAATTTTAAATAATTTGAGTAATTAATAAATAAAAGGTTTTTGCCAGTTGCTTTTAAAGATTTCACAGAAATTGAATTCATGTTTTTCCCCTCACATGACAGTACGCTCACTTACCTGAAGTAGTCCTCCTTCTTTTTATTTGTAACTATAATTGTGTGGTCTGGAGTAGACAGTATGGTCTTCATTAAAAGAAAGAACTTTAAAGTTTGCATTAATTAGTTTTTCAGCTTAAGTGTTGTTATAAATATGGAAGTAGTCTGTGTTCCTACCGGAAAATACAGTTCTAGGAAGCCTGTTTCCTGTAGCTTTGTATGACAGATGACTTCCTTTCTTCACAGCCAACTGAAGTACACTTTTCTTTTATTCGTAGGCGTTCAACACCTTTATTGATGATATATTTGCCTTTATCATCACTATGCCAACATCTCATAGGCTGGCGTGCTTTAGAGATGATGTCGTGTTCCTGGTCTATCTTTACCAAAGATGGTATGCCTTTCTTTCATATTCATCAGAGTTTTTACAACGCTGTAGATGGTTGCAGTCTTATTGCTATAAAAACCTATGAAATAGTTTGGGATAGACTTTAAACAGATTTTTATACCGTAGTAATATATAGTATGATCTGGATAATGGTAGTTGTGTCTATGCCTAGTGAAGGGAATGGTGAGGAAGGGATCCTGAAAAGGAGATCTCAATACAAATAAAAGGAGCAAAAACGCTTTCCATAACTGACAGTATTCCTGGCCCCTTTTTTAGCAGGCTAAGAGAGTAGGCAAGAAATTCCTTTTCTCACAGCACACTCAGAATTTTTGTCAATGACCCCTTCTCCTCCCCAAAACAGCAGTCCTCCTTTCCAGCAGATAGTTTCACATTTGCAAGTTACAAAAAGAAGAAAGGAAAACAAACAAACCAACCATATGAATACCTGAAGTAAGGTGAAGGAGAGCCATTTTTAAGCTTGTAGTCACAAACCCTCTTAGGAGTTCTGGGCTTCTAACCCTTGCTGAGGGGCTGCATGCCTACAGATGCTTAGCAGTACCGGCAGTGTGCTTTCCAAGTTGCTCTGCAAGGCATGGGCAAAGGATATTTTCTGATGAGGGATTGCCATGCTCTGCTTTCCTCTTTATCTGGCTTCCAAACACAAATTACCAGGTTCTCTTGTGAGTTGAGTATCTGGCAAGTTTCAGATTCTTTCAGTAACTAAAATCAGTTGGGGAAGAGGCTATATGCAGTAATCGTTGATAGATTGTTTCTAGTGAAGATACAGAAAGTGTATTCTTGTTCCCAAGAATAAGTATTTAGATGGGGAGCAAACAGGAATTCTAAGTCTGGTTCACATTATACCAGAATATATGGATGTGTACATCTAATTGTTAATACTAAACGTGAGCTTCAGGTTTAAGTTTATATAATCGCGCATAGGTGTAGTAAAATAGGTCCCCTTCCAAGTTGTTTTTCTAGAAGTTAAGAGCTCAACAACATCTGATGGGGTTGGACACTGGTTTCAAGTTTGAGAGGTATCCTGGATTGCTTGAAAAATACTCCAGTCAAGCTTTAGGGGAGCTAATACATCCATCTCTGAAGAGGCCCTGTTACGAGACAACTGGTTACGTCTTAATGTGAAGAAGCAGATGTATCTGTAGCTAATCTTTAAAACTGTTGTATTGTTTGCCACAAATGGGAACAGAGATTATCATGAGAAAGAAATTCACTTTTAAAATTAAGTAGCACAGAACTGCGTAATTCCTCCAGGTAGCATACAGTGGTGTAACTAATAATTTGTTTTTTCTGCCAGGCTTTATCCTGTGGATAAGAGCAGAGTGAATGAGTATGGAGAATCTTATGAAGAAAAGCCAAAAAAAAAAGCTCATAGAGAATAACTAAGAATTGAAGAAGATTCTGACCCCTGGACTCTTACTGGCTTCATGTATTATCTGGTCTAAAGGAAGGAAAAACTTATTTAATAAGAGTATTTTTAAAGCTTATGACAGAACTACATGGACAATACATCTTCTATATTGCCAAAATCTAGTTTTGATATCCTATTTTAAGACCCTTTTTGTCCTCACAAGGTCCACAGTCTGCCAGATGTCATTAAATAAACTTCCTGCATTTAAACTTCTCTTCAGTGAAAACCTAAGTGTCCTGACCATTGTAATTAATATCCAAATCTACGTTTTTAAGACAACTCGCTAACTGAAAGTGTGGAGCCCATGCCACTAGGCTATGAAGAGTGAAAAAACTAACCAGTGCGTTACAGCAGAATTGAGTATTATTGCCAAACTGGAGGCTGTCAAACATAAAATGTATAATATTGGATTATATGCTAATTACAAATCATTCTCATTTGATAATGGAGAGAACGGAAATTCTAAAAATGATTAAACTTGTAAGTTGTATGTGGGCATTCATAGCTTAAAAAAAAATGTTAGAAATATAGGATGAGAGAGATGGGGTTGTTCAAATTCAGATTCTGCCATGTTCTTAGTCCACAACATGGTAGAGGGTTTCAGTTGTCTTAAACTGAGCGAATATGTGAAAAAGCTGTAACATGATTTCTTTCAATATGTATCCAATTCATGTAAATCCTTCTGCATTGTTGACAAGCCTTCTGATTTCTTGGGATAGCAGGTATTCATATAATGCAAATCATTGTTATGTGCTAGGAGAGTCTCTTAACACATCTTAAATTCTTCATCATGTGGTACCCCAGTGACCAACTAGGCCAATTCCCTCATGTTTCAAAGGGAATAAAGAATTCCTTGGTCTTTCCCCTCTCCCTCTCTGTCCTGTTCTGTTTATTAGATGAAATGTGCATCATTCAAGTGGAATGATTTTGCTCAAGTACAGTACAGGTTCAACAGACTACCTGGATACAGAGGAAAAAAAGCAGCCTGGTGAAGAACAGGTATCTTCCTTTCACACAATGTAAAATCCATATTTCATGGGAACAGTTCATTGAGAGGTGTTTTGATCTGTTTCTTTCAAATTAGTAAAAATAGTTTGAATTGTTATACCAAAATTCAAACTTCACAGCCATATCTAGAAATGATAATTCCAGATTTTTAAAAGCAAGTTTCTCAGTAACAGTAAGTGAAACACAGAGTGTGTTCCTTTCAGCAGCAAATAAATGCAATTAAAAAAAAATCTAAAAGGCAGAATTCTAGTTTCCAATTCTAGTTCTGCTTTGTTCAGTAAGTTTACAAATTAATACTAATGATTCTTAAGTTTCTTTATTAAATTGCATGCTGTTTGTGCAAGGCTATTTAACTTCAATTTGTCATTGATTGAAAATGTTAATTGAATAACCTTGAACACAGATCTGCTCCTGTGGTCTCTAACTACTTTATGAAGTGGATTTTATCGCGTTCTGATACTGCAGAAGTCAGAATGTATAAATACTTGGGTCCCAAAAAGATACGGAAATGTGCCTGACGTACATAAGTCTATGCAAAACCAGGGTTGCATTTGCCGTATCTTGTACGTGTTTGGGATTTGTTTGGAAGGAGCTTTTTGCTGTTAGGCAAACTAATTTGGGACTCCTATTTCATAATAATAGTTAAATGTGTGAAAATTTTTCCTGATATAATTAATGCATATAGCATATACCCTTTTTGTGCCATTTCAAAACAATCAAGTTCTTGGTTCTTCTAGGATAGCTTCTGAAAGTCCAGAATACCGTATTCAGGTATTGCTAATGTTTCATCATTCATTTTTGTATGTAGCTGTTGAAAAATCACTCTTGCACCTTTACATACTGAGTTTATTGGTCTTCTGTCTTGCATTTCTGATGACAATGACCTCATAATATCATATACAGTAGTCATAAAGAATACAAAATTAGAATATTTTAAGTCTTTAAAATGAGCGAGACTTTCCTGTTCAAGTCATTGTTTTATGCATTCTGTTTCCAAATAAAAGACTTGGCATACGGGATAGAGAGTTACCTTTTGTTGTTGGAAAGATGGTGAAAAACTATGTAAGCAGTGTAACTTTGGAGATATTAAATGAAATGTTTTAACGTTTTAGTTGTGGAAGTGATATCAGCTTAAAACAAAAATGCCTGTCTATAGGCAGTTAATGCAGAAGAACTTCCTATATATAAAATGCCATTGAATGTGTTGCAGCTCATACCAGATTATCAGTATCTGTGATCTCTTAAAGAGTTCAAGAGTAACTTAACAACTTCCTCACTTCTAATCTGTACTCCCCCACAGTTCTTCCAGTGCCATGCGGTGCCACTGCCTGCTCACCTTCACCTGCTGCCGACTGTTCTCCAAGAGGTGACCTGCCCTTACAGCTTTTTTTTTTCCCTGGAGCCACAGGGCTAACTCAATTACCAAATGGCCAGCAGCACTGACAGTTTTTCTCTTATCAGCAGAGCTCAAGAAGTTCTGCTCTGCTCTGCTGCTGTCGCTGCTAGAGCAGGTGCTGTACGTGTTGCTGATATGTGGACTCAGCACAAGTATACGTTCCCTTTTCATGCAGCATTGCTCTCCGGTAATTGTCAGCTCCAGCACCCATGCCTCAGCAGCAAAAGCATTAAGACCGATAACTCTATAATTTGTCTGCTTTTAAATATCACATTTTCCATTTTTTTCATCAGAAGACAAATCTCATGTTGAGAAAGTGAAACATCGTTTACTACTTTCTTCATTACAACTTTCGGTTTTTCAATATCATAGTATCTAAAATAATGCAGGTGGGCAGGGACCTCAGGAGGATATCCAGTACCAGCACAGCACCCTCCCCCCCGACCCTTCACAGACCAACCACCTTTCCTGACAGTCCTGTGTAAAACCATCTGAGCGAACAGATCCAGCTGTAGGAGTTGAGAAATAAAACCAGAAAGAGCCCGACTTTCCCAGATGTCCAGCGAGTCTGTGACTGCTTCCCCTCTTACACTAGGAGAGGTTTGGTTCTGTATCTGTGAGGATCCATGCGCTTTTCCAGTGGTTATAGAACTTCCTCTTAATATAGAGGGGGAACTGTGATGTCTCCCATGTTTTCATCCATCTGCATTAATATACCACTGCTCCTTCTTAAAGATATCTGGAGCTAATCAGTTTGCTCCAGTTTTTCCTTTACACCATTTTATTTCTTACTGCTCTTTTTAAAATCAGGTCCCCAAAAATCCTGCACTTTATTTATCCTAACACCCACCCTGATGACTATACCTGCATCAAAAGGAACAAAATACTTTAGATTCAAAAGACAAACACTGGGGAATTCTGGCTCATGTCTGCCTATGTTCGGTTTAAAGAATCAAATAGCTTCTGCCCTTCCCCTCCCAGCTTTCTGTTAGGCAGTACACTGTTCTTTTAGTCCTTGCCATATGGTACCCATCAAACTTCTTGCAAGCTGTTTTGGGTATAGGATATACCAGCCTCTCAGTTTCTGGCCCCTAATGTTCTCCTTAGTCATCCACTGCTCCACAATCCTTATTAACCTTCATGGTGATTTGTCCTCCTTCTGTTCTTGCACTAATGGAGCCTTGCACGCCTGCAACGACTCATGAGCTATCTTACTCTTATTTTGGACTTTGAAAAATGCACTTCAAACATTCTTATTAGGCATTAATTGCCTCTAGCAGTCTCTAGCTGCAGGTTAGTCTGTGTTGAGCAGCCTAAAGCCAGGCAGTGTTTCATTGCCATGGTTCATCTGCATGCTCTGGTCCAGCTAACCACCTGGCCGCTAAGGCAAGAGCCCTCGAGCATTGACTTTGGAAGTGCTGCTGCACTCCTCGCTCTGTTCAGAACACCCGGCCTGGCACAGCTCCAGTGTAGTGCTGTGTAACGCTCAATGCCTGGCTTGCGGCCAGCCAGCAGCAGCTCTCCAGCACGCTTTGCCTCCTTGCTGCCCTGCAGCTTTGGCTTTAAACTAAAAGAAGGTGGATTTAGATTAGATACTAGGAAAACATTCTTCACGGTGAGGATGGTGAGACCAGGTTGCCCAGAGAAACTGTGGATGCCCCCTCCCTGGAAGTGTTCAAGGCCAGATTGGATGGGGCTTTGGGCAACGTGGTCTAGTGGAGGGGTCCCTATCCATGGCAGGGGGGTTGGAACTAGATGACCTTTAAGGTCCCTTCCAAGCCAAACCATTCTATGATTCTGTGAACCTCCCACCTGCACCACTTGCAAGCTTCAGCTCAAAGAGTCATCATAGATACCTACTTTGGACTGACTTCCACAGGATCTACTGAAGTATAACCTCTACTTTTCCAACTGGACTTAGCAATTCATATTTCCTATCCTGAAATTCTCAAGTCTTGCTACATTTGCTGTTTAGTCTCCATCAGAAGCAGACCTTTCATTTGATTAGTGCTGACCATAAGAACAGAAAGGAATAAGCAGTGTTTCATTTGGTAAAACCAACAAACCCTTCATCAACTTGCTTGAGAAAGAACAGGTTAGCCTCACCCTCTCTGCCATCCCAGAAGTTGTTATAAAGATACATAGGAGGAAAAAAAAACCAAAACAAACAAAAAACTACCACAAACAAACAAAAAAACCACCACAAAACCAAACCAAAACAACCACAAACTTTAACCAGGAATTTATGTTGTTTCAAGCTGACTGATTTCTTAAACTTGGGGATCTCAGGCGATTAGTGTTAGAAGATCATGCAATCTGAAAAAATATCAGTTGCAGACCTTGACTCCATTATCCCTGGAACACACTAAGCCTTGCTCTGCAGCCTTACACAGGCTATCTCTGATCCTCTTCAGTTATGCCAAATGTGCAAGGATCAGCAGGACGTTGTGGATCTGTTTGCCTATTATCAAAAACCTCCACTGAACAGCAGTTTGAAAAGCAGACTTGAAGATACATGGCTCTGTGAGCATCCATGTCCTTCACTACTGCTTTCTTCAACCTGTCACTTCACAGAATTAGAATTGCAAGAAGTAGCTATTGCTTACAAAAAGGGAACAGAAACACATTCCCCTTTTGGGAAAGGGAGAGAGGAAAAGAAGAAGGTGTTCTTTGGTTATGCTGTCTTTTTAAATGATTGGTTATAAATACTGATAGCTGGAGCGCCAAACAAGTCCCTTGGACTTTCTGGTTTTCTATCCCAGGAATTCAGAAAGGATTGGGGTCTTCTCCTGCTACTCAGCTACAGCCATTCTCAGTCTGCAACAATCTTTTTTTAAAAACTGTTCTTTTCTGCTGACCTCTGCATTTCTAAAGGAAGCACAGTCTTTGACCGAAAGTCTCCCAGTGACAAAGACTAATTTAGTTCACACACAAACCAGATGTTTCATTCTGCTGGAGATTTGACCAGCTGAAGGAACTGTTCTTACATTCAGCTACCAGCAGGAT